TAGGGGCAATTTTATTCTAATTGCATCTACAAAGAATTTTCAAAGTCTTCTGAGGATCTCTGTGACCCCTAATTAGAACTTTGTACAGACAGAGACTGGAAATTAACTGAAATACCCAAACATCTTGAAATAGGAACCTTCCCCCCCTCCCCAAATTACATAAAAGCTCTAATTATATTTGTTATATAAATATTTTAAGTGGTAAAACATTAGATAATTGAAGACACACCCTCCCCCCAACCCCAGTTAACCATCACTCACAGCCCAGCAAGAGTAAAATTAACTCAAACAGTGTTCGTACTGTAAAGCTGCTTCCATGCATGGATGACACTGCACTGCTCGCTCCTTTGTTCCGTCTTTGAAAGGATGATGACAAAGGAAACCATTTGAGACTATTTTGAAGTTCACCTTTTGTTACGCAGTTGCATACATTATTTTTTCAATCTGTTTAATCAGTGTCAAAAGTCTATCCCATAAGAAATCAGATAAAGAAAAAAAAAAAGAAACAAAAAAAAGACATACTGAATAATTGCTTTGTGCTTAACCAGCAGTGACAAGGATACCTGGACTCCACCTTTGCTAACAGAGAAATGGAGTTGCAAAAGGGTGGCAACAGCTGATCAGCTCCTATTCAGCTCACAACAAGATGAGGAGAAGTTCTCATATACTTTTTTCTCTCCTTAAAACCATTCTTCTCTCTGGAAGGAAGTTACTTGCAGAAGGATACCAATAGGATACCACTCCTTCTGTACTGCATGAAAGCACAACAGAAATACAAGTTTTTGTCTGTTGTACATTCAACTGAAAAAAAAAAGAAATAAAATTACTATGGTATTTAGGTACCTGACCCACCATTACCTTGATTTATTCTGAGGAAAGATGGAAACTGGACTGACAGGGAACAAAGAGCCCTGCTGCTGTACTGCCCGCACAGCTCTGCTGGTCTGCCTCTGCCAAGCCTGACAAGAATGTCACCCTGTCACCAGTCTCAGTCAATGCCAGGCCCTTTTGCTAAATATCCTGTCAAGAGTGCCAGTTAGCATCAGCCAGTGAATTCCTACCTGGTAGAAACAGGAACGACAGCAAATCAGGCTTTGGACTTTCAGCCCAAACCAGCCTCCACAGATTCAAGAGAGAGTTTTTTGAGCCAAGGAGGGGAAATGGGATGGGGAGGAACAGCCATGCTGGGGAGGGGGAGGGAGGATGTCTCCATTTATCTATTTTAAACCACAGCACCATGATTTCTGGACACAGCTATAACAACAGACCTATTTTGTATCAGTGCCTACAGCTCCCTGACAGCGAAAAGCTGGTTCAGCAAGAGTCCAGCTCTTGCAGATGACTGGATGCTGCATGCATCTCAATGAGTTTGAAGCGGAGTGCACTGTACTGCTATCAGGTGAAAGGCAACAGCAGGAGGTCAGCAGACTGCAGCAGAATTCAAGGATACAAACCCCTACAGAGTACAATAAATAGTGTAAGGCAGCTCTGTGAGTGCCTAGCTAGTGTTTTTCTCTATGTGGAGAGAGGCAATAGTGGTCTGGGACCTAATTTGTATAACAAGGTATTTTAAGAGGGAAGCTAATTGAAATATATAAATCCTGAAGAATATCACATCAAGCCAAGACACTATTATTAGCCCAACCTAGATGAGGTTATAGAAGTGCATTAAAAAAACCTCAATCAAAAAATTAGTAGGAAGCATTCCTCACTTCAAGATCCCATGAGACAAATTCTCTCAAGCAATGATTAGATATTATCCAGAAGAATAAAAAAAGAATACTAAAAATGGATGTGGAGAAGGAAAGTAGGAAAAGCACAAGTTCACCCAAATGGGTCACAGCTTGCTCCTAATGTTCACTGTCGGTAGGTTTTAGAGTTCATAGCCAACTAACAGAGCAGCAGCTGAAATTAAAATTAAACTATAATTCTGCAACAAAATATATTTTTTTTAAATTACATGCTACTTATGTAAAAGGTTGATGTAAAGTTAACTGAGCCAGAAGCATTTTCAGCAGTGTTCTCCAATAAACTCTGGTTTCATTCTTCCATTACGTGTCCTAAGCATATTGAATTTTCCCCTGTGCCAGCTTTTACCAACCCTACCAAAGACAAATAACAGCATTTATGGGCATTTCCCATCCTTGTGATGCCATATTTCTGTTTCTGTTCCACCCATCACAACCCATAAGGAGTATGTGGATATGGAGGGAAAGCCACAGCTGGGAAACTACAAGCAACAAGGTAAATTTCTTGAAATAATTGCTTGCCTCCTTCTGGCTGTTAGGTTGTTCTTCAGAGCATGATAATTACTATTCCATAAACACTCTCCGAGAAGCAGGTAATGGGTAGTTAAGCTGATACAACAAACTTCATGCAGCTTCATGCACAAAATTAACCAGCCTAATTTTAGGTCTACAAAAATAAAAGTGCTGTCTTTGCTAACTTTGTCTTAACGTTTATTGCCTTTGCTTAGGTCTTGAAGAACTAAGAGACACATACAGAATTAACAAAAATATTTTTCCTTCACCTCATTCCTGTGAGTAAATAATTTAAATCCTTTACCTGTGACTGCAAGTTTTACCAGCCTGCCTTTGTGTGTTTTAGCAGTGCATCAGGGGCAGTGCTATTCTGCAAACATCTTCACTGAGAAAGCTCAGGTAGAAGGTGAAGGGAAAGGCCAGTTTTCATTTTCAGTATAAAGCAGACATTTATTTCCAGAAAATCAAGGAAACTCAATTCAACTGTATCTCAATGTGAAGTATGAGATGGTTGGACTAAGGTCACAAGAAGTATTACTTCTCTTAAGGGCAGATTATTTTTTACATTAACAGCTATAAGTATATTTGAGAAAGAAAAAAGGTTCTGTTGAAGATTATCTTTTTCTGTTTGTAACTCATTCAGAGTGAACTCATAAATCTTGGCTGGGCTTTTAATTCCTTGGAAAGCACATATATGTATATAATCTAATCCAGTCCTTACACAGAACTTGGCCAGCTAACATTAGAAATAAAAAAAGAAATGCACATACACAAAATGCTAAATCCCAAATAACTTTTTAAAAATGCAGGTAATGTTGTTCCCTTAGATTGTCTCATTAAGAATGAGGTTAGATTGCAATCATGTGCCATCTTCATTTATTCTCCATAAATAATAAAGCAAAGCTATGCAGCTTAGGAACAGCAATCTTAACCTTCACAGAAGACATAACCTGGACATTTTTTATGTGACAAAAAAAAGCTATGCAGCTTAGGAACAGCAATCTTAACCTGGACATTTTTTATGTGACAAAAAAACCCAAAACAAACCACCAAACAAAAACACAATACGAATTTGACTGCCATGTCACTACATCAATAAAAATATAAGCAAGCTGGCTTACAAGGAAAGGTAGAGGGCAATGTCCAATACTCATTAAAGGGAACAGGCCAGTGATTCAGTATGTTCAGGCACTGACATTTTTAATACTGATAAAAATAATTTTATGTAAGCTGAATGCCAGAGACTTGATTTACTTCAAACGAATACTTACAATTTTGGTATGGTCCACTAGAGCACAGTAGTTACACAGAACATTTATTTATAGTTCCCACTAACATAGTGTTATCACAAAAAAGCTTTGGTTTATATTCATAGTGTGAAGATGAAAAACATAAAGCAATGGAAAAAACATGCTGAGCAGGACATTGTTATTCTTCCAAAATGCTACTCTCTTAATACTCTTGTTTGAGGTACATAATCTTGTTCCTGGGAAGCTAAGAAAGGCAGAGGAGTGGAGGCAGCTGCAGGCCCATATAGCTTCTCAAGTTCAGTCCTCTGTACCACAGCAGGTTTCAGCACTGATTAACAACACTACTGAAACACAACGAAACTTCACTGTGCTTAAGCTTCTAGTTTAAGTTAACTAGTCAAAAAACATTCTCAAACTGAAAAAGGTTGCCTGTTATTTCACTAACTTGCCTACAGATACACAAGTTAACACTAAAACATTTGGCAAGTTATATTGATTATTATAAAAACTAAAAACCCAACAGTAATTTCAATCTAAAACTGCTTTTAAATCTGAAACCAAAGTGAACAACTCTCTAAACAAAAAAATCCCCCAAACCTGTCAGTATCACAATCCAAACAGTCACTGGCATTCAGTATGAACATTTCCAGATTTCAGGTTTCTCTCCGTTTTCCTGATCTACATGATGTGCTAAGCAGCATCTTCCAGCTGTTACCTTCTTCAGAAAATGTAAGGAAGCAAAGCACTCTGAACTCAGCGAAACAAGAGTTTGGAGATGAAGCAAATTTATTGTTCCAAGCGTTGAAATCAGGGAGTATTTTAAATCAGCCACATACTTCATGAAAATCCAGCTAGTATGAATGAAGGGATCCAGCTAACCCTTGAACAAGTTTCAAAGCTATTGTAACATGGCACATGTATCATAGAGCCTTGTAGGTAACCAACCCATAGTTCGGAAAATCCAAGATGCCCTCTGCATAAAGGACAGGCAGAGAACAGCATCACTGAGGTACTAGTCCCATTTCTTTCAGGCAAATTACTGCATAGATATCTAAGGTTAAGGACTTCTGACTTTTTTCTGACCAGCTTTTACAGTATCATAAGGTAACATAATGAAAATACATTGTATTTGAAACCAAAGAGCAGCATAGTGGACATGCACTGGTAGAAAACATCCTGTGTGCAATCTGAGATGTTAAAAGTACCATACACAACTTGGATGTTAATCTAAAAGCTTACTAATTTAATTTGACTTCACTTTTTGTGGAAAAAAGTCTACATGGTCTTATTCATAAAAATGGAATTCTCAACATTCAGCTGTGGTGGGTATAACACGAACATACAGAGTCTTCATGTTCAGGTTCTTCATGGAGATGTCCTTTGTGATCTCTGAACCAAGAAAAGAGAGAAACAGAACCCAGTTAGTGCTCTTGCTTTCTAGGTAAAGCTATCAACACTTTTTTTATTTATTTATTCAGACAGTTCTGCTGGTTCGATCAAAATGGGACTAGGACAAAAACTGCTCAGCTCAAAACTCCCTCCTGTTGAAGCACAGTGCACTAAAGGAAGAGTCACCACATGTCAGGATTGCCACTGCAAGAGTCGAAGGTACTAGGCTACAAGGTAGAATTTTTTGAAAGGCTGTGTCAGCCCACAGGTCCCAGCTTCACGTCCACACAGAGTGTCACCTCGTTCAGAGAATTACTGTATAATGCAGTGATATGAGGTCACTATTAACAATACAACACAATGCCCTGAAAACCAGTCCCTCATAAATGTTATGTAAGAATGGCCGTACCAGACAGATCCCAGATCCATCTCCTCTAGTATCCCATCTCTGACAGAAGACAGGAGGTGAGTGAAGGAGTGTGAGAGTAAGAAGATGCATACATTAACTTGAGTTTTATACATAAAACAAGGATTGTAGTATTATCTGCCATTGTAATCTCATCAAATATCATAGAATGACATAGGCTGGAAGGGACCTTAATGGTGATCTAGTTCCAGCCCCCCTGCCATGAGCAGGGACACCTAATATGCCTAAAGAATTTAATACCAAACCAGATCAATTTCTTAAGTCTTTTCATAGCTATATGCATACAGTTTGGAACAGTAACAGGATAAAGTCTCACCAACAAACCTCTTAAGGATATAGCATATTTCCAACACGCTGATTCAGGATTTATGATTATTTATTAAACACAAACACAGAGTTATTGTACTTTGTGGTTACAGAAGTCACATAGAAAGTTGGCAGGAACTGGAAATCTCTCTCGCTATTCTTGCGACCTTACAAAGCATTATCCCAAGAAGCTAGCAGCTTGCTAGCTCAGTGCTTCCCAGCACCCATCAGCTGTAGCAAACTACCCCGATAACACAGCAGATCATAACTTTTCTTCCAAAGCCGTACCTCCCACTATTCCAAACAACCTGAATAACAAATATACCAGAGGCCTCTTTACTAAGAAATGTGAAAGTGGTAAGAAACTTCACAGTGGTAAACCACAAATACACAAACACAAAACCACACTGCAACCAGAGCAAAAGAGTACCCGGGGGTTATGGGTTACTCTGCACACTACAATCCCTGTAGACAACACCAGCAAATAAAAGAGAATTTTCAATTTTGGCACTAGTGTTAGCACAAATGACAGACTAAGAACATTCAGAATGGCCGGTGTTTTTTCAGCAGAAACCATTTTGTAGTGTGCTGCGCTGTATCACAGGGCTGACGGCCGATAGTCGCACTGCTCCAGCCTGGGCTCACCTCCAGCTGCCAGCGACCACGGCACTGCGTGTGCTGGGGAGAGGCAAGCCTGTGAAGTGCATCCATGGAGATTGTGTGAAAGCAGTTTAGTTTTCAGTAACATGATGTCCATGTGAAAACTGAATCTAGAAATGGCAGCAAGGAGTTTTGTTTCCATGTACGCACGCTCCTGCTGACATTCAGGCCCTCACTTTTCTCCAAAAAAGATTTCATTTTCAGACTCAGCAGATACAGTCTGCATCCAAGTTTAAAGGCCATCCATTAATTAAAGAATTAAGAAGCCCTTATGGATCATGATGGTACTGTTTTTAAGGAGTTCTCCTCCAGTGTAGTGCTCTGCTTTAAGCAGCTGAAAACCCATTTACAGAACTCCAAGAGTGGAGGTATAATCCAATTCAGCAATTAGGGCTTTATTTGCTCATTAAGCTGCCTTCCCTCCCCATGAAAATGTTACATCAGTATGTATGAAAGTTATTTTGGTCTGCAGAAGCAGCCAAACAAACTACAAACTGGGTCTCAGGCTTTTTTAATTATTTATTTTTTAAATCCTGAAAAATTAAGGACTACATGAAGCTATTATTTTCAACAGTATTTAAGACAATAATTACTATTAGAAATTGGAAACTTGATTTATCAACAAAACGGAAGGACATCCTCCTTTCTGTGCTAATTCCTGCAAAGGCAGGTTTTGAAGTTAGCAGATGAAGTGCTACCTTCATCCCAAACGTGTCTCTGAATCAGTACCTGTAACGCATGTTTCCATCTCATGAATAAGCAACGCTCACCACTTTGACATTTATTTATAGCCTGATTTTCCAATATTGCAAAAGGGGATGAAAAACACATTCATTTCTGAAAGGTTGGCAAGCTTTTGTGCACTAGACAGCAGATGCCCAACTGCATATACCTGACATTTATAAAAATAATATTTTCAAAACTGATAACTCATTTTCCTTCAAGTGATTTTTTTCCCCCTATTCCCTTCTTTTTATAAAAACCTTTCAAATATGGTTTATTTTCAAACTTTTCAAATAATTTAACAGCAAATATTTTTTTTTTTTTTTTAATTTTTAGAATAAACCATAAAAAATTTTTTTTGGGAAAGAGACTGAACTTCCTGTTTTGAAGGTAGGACCTTGAAATATATTGATAAAAAGATGAGTAGGGGATTACAAAGTTGCAACAATACACACAGACATTAATTGGGCTAATGTTTTCCAGAGGCATCAAAATATTTACTTTATATGTAGCAGTTATTTATCATAAAAAGAGATCTGAAGATAAAGTGTGATCATTTCAGTGTTTATTCCATTAAAAAATGTTTTTAAAAGAGGTGCATGGTGAGAATTAAATCTGAGATAGCAGAAGCATAGCTATATGGCATAAGCATGTGTCAGCTACAAAAATAAACCTCCAGGACCAAGTTATCTACATTCTGATTCTAAAAAAGATCAAACCAGTTGTTTTAGCCTTTGAAGAGTTATCAAATCTTATCTTTCACATCATCATGAATCACTTTAGACACTGTATTTAAAGTTTAAATAGTTCTGGAGAATTCATACTACAAATATGTTATAGCAATTTCCCTTTTAGGTAAAGGCATTCTAACAACCCTTACTTGAATTGAGGCTTAGAGGCTATGCATCTTCCTGTTTTGTCAGTTACTTCCTTCTTTCAAAGCTCAAAAGTTTTCTACAATAGTTATTTTAGTATCTTAACTAAGTCAGATGCTGCTGTGAACCCTTCTGCACTGTAACAACAGGAGAAACCAACAAAGAAATACATATAACATCGTGGCTGAACTAACTGGCAAGGTTTCACACACATACATTTTTGGTTTATGCAGATGAAGTGTGGTTGATATACTTGGTTCTTACACCTTGTGCTGTTTCCAAACACCACAATCTCCAGTTCTCTATGTTTGTTAACACCATTCAGCACGTTATTTTTATCATTAGCTCAAACTATCACTAGAAAGTCTCATCAACATTTTACTTACAAAAATGGCGCTTGAATAACCACAGCTCAGGTCACATGAAATCTTTAAAAAAAAAAAACCAATCCACAACAGAAGAACCCACACACACCTTCCTTGCTCTGATTCTAATCTATCCTACTTGAATGCCTTCAACCCAGGTGGGCAGCTAAGTGACACGGGTTTTAGCCAGCTACACTAGTGCACTCCACTCCTCTCCCCATCAGCTGACAGGAACCTCCAGAGGAAATTCATCCCACGCTAAGATTAGATCACTAGTTTAAACACGATGTCTAACTTCTGGACAGGTAACCTAACATGGGATAAGTTAAGTGTCATATATCCCTCCCAAACAGCTTGTAAATCATGCCACTGTGATAAACTGGAGACAGAATCTTTTGCATCGTTTCATTTGACGAGCAGGATTTTCCTGAATTCCACAGAAATACTTGGGGTTTTCTTTACTATGTAGTTTCCAATCCATTCTTCCTGTCAAATGAAGTCTCAAATCTTTCTCAGGTCCAACTTTTTAGCACTCTTTAATCTTGTCTCTCTCATGAAGCAGAGATTTTTGTTTCTAAGCTTCACCACCTGTCTGTGGTTTCGGAAGATTCTTTAACATTTCAGATGTGTGACTATGTGATGAAGCTTCCTACATCTCAGGTATTCTGAATGAACTGCTGCTGCCTTACCCTACCAGGTGTGACCTACTCACACAACTCTCAAATAGATCAGATACTCTCTTCCACCCACTCCCATTCTCCAAAAAGAAGAGGAAAAAAATATCTGCAGCAATATGAATGTTACAGGAACAATTTGAACAGGTTCTTAAAATATTCACACTTTAGACTCACTCGCTTCTAGGAGGAGATTCACTCTGCTTAGTCACAGCAGCGTGGAACTACCATTTACGTTGCTGACTGACCTTTATATTTCAAAAGGAAGAAACTTCTACAGAACTTGGCCATTTCACAAAGGGAATGCATTAGAGCTTTGAATTTCTAGATGCGTATGTGTGCTTAAAGGATTTTATTAAATAAACAGTGAATTACTGGTCAGAATTAGAAACCAATGTGTAAATAGCGTGCATTTAGTAATTAAACTAGATCTCAGGCTACATTAGGTGCTCCTCAACAAAAACTTCCCAAGCATCCTTGGACAAGCAAACCAAAAGTTTGTGCTTACCCTGAGTTTGTGCTTCATCCAGGAACAATTTTAGCCTCCTGCTTCTAAGCCCAAAAACTTTTGCCGTCTCATGTAGAAGACCTTGGTACGTTAACCCGTTCTGACCAACGGGGTTCTCCATTAGAAGAGTTCCCACTGTTCCTTTCTGACATTCTGAACGAGAGAAACAGTTGCATCACTATTCGTGAGGAATGATATTACTTCATTTATCTAGATAAACTGAATTTTAGGACTTCTTCCCTTTCATCTCTGTTTCTTTATAGTGCCAATACCAGCCTACTTACAGGTACTCCCTAAATTCATGGATTACAGGATCAGGAGTATAAGTGATTGCTAACAGCTTAACAAACAAAAGAAAACTTGGCAGAATTCTTTACGTGGGGCAACAGGATAACCTGGAGACTGGGAAACATGAAATACCTGAACAGGACACACAAACCACTAACAGCTAGAGAAGCTCACAAAGCACCTTCTGATGATCGAATCCTCAGTTAAAAACACATTTTTGGCCCAAGTAGGTTCCCAAGAGCGTCAATGAAATTCCATGTAGACACAGTCCAAAAAGGACCAAGCTGGGGCAGAAATTAAGAGCGAGTTACTAACAACATTGTTTTTCCAATGTGAGATTTCAGGGTAGAAGTTACAAGATTAGCAGCTGTGAAACAGAACTACATGCACATATCTATGCTCCAGGTCAGGTTAATAATACAATTCATTCAGCCTTTAAATAGCACAAAAAACCATTTCATATACTGTTTACAATGTCTTGGTAAAGAGCTGGCTCCTCCTTCATTTTTGGTTAGTTTTAAACTGAGTTTTTCAAAAAGGCTGAGTTTAAAACTTTTAAAATAAGCTGCACAGGTGAGCTGATGGTCAGAAATAGGAAAACAATGCTGAAGGGCTCACATTTAAATGCTGTCCCTTATCTGAAACTGGGTCTCCTTTTTCTTTTCTTAAAAGAGGGAGAAAAGCTAAATATAAACATTGCGTTTCTTAGAAAGCACATAATAGGAAAAAATAAACAAAATCACCATCTACCAATGAAAAAAATACATATTTATCTTCATCAGTAAGTGCTGGTGTTCAAACCTTCCATCACAAGAAGCTCAGCTGGTAAATGAGGAGAGGTCAGTACCCTCCATACCTTGTGGTTCTGCATTCATTAACTGCAGGTTGATGTACTGGCAGAGGAGAGCGTCAGGAGAGCTGATTGGAGCAGGTGCTGACCCTGTTGTCACATGGAGAGTCTTTCCGCTGAGACTAAGCAAGTCAGTTTTGTTTATCAGTTCTGAAAAAGAAAATGAGACCAGTCAGGCCGTTTCAGGGAAGCGGAGGCCCAGTTCTCACCCGATTAGGTGACAATGAGGCTTTCCAAGGACCAATTCCACTCTGGAAGCGCTTCCCTCTCCACAATTCCTTGCTCAAGAAAGAGCATTTCTCTGTTCTGAAAAATGGAACTTGTGCAGAAATATTCTGTCTTCTTAACAACACAGAGTACTTTGTCTGCCATGGAAATTAGCTCCTACATATAATTTCTTACGCACATAAATATACAGCATGATTACTTATGCAATGAAAACAGTTAAATAACTTAAAACAAGCAAAAAATTATTCACTTAAGCCAACCATTTCTATCTCACTAAATTAAGACCTACGATCTTTGCCTCTCCCCCAACTCGCCTAGCTGAAGCAGCGCTGGATATGTGTTACTATGCAACATCAGGACATTTCCCTCATTAAACTCCAGATGACAATAAATGTAAAATCAGTAGCTGGTTAGCTCATGAATAATGCCCTCTGTATTAATATTTGTGTTTAATGTCAACAACAGCTGATGATGCAGCAGATGAGTCCAGCCATGCGTATTTAGAGAATGGTGGAAGATCAGACCCAAGCTAGGACCCGTGTCTCAAAGGATTTTTGCAGTAATACCAGCACCCTGAAAGTACTCGGATGAGAAGCTAATGAGGTTTCTGCAATACAAATGAAATCTCTGCACTGCCTACAGGAGCAGCTGCCTGCCTGTCACAGAGGTAAAAAAAGCTGCTGATAGCCACAACATTAAAGGTACAGAGGAAGAACATCACTCTGCTACAAAGCTTTTGCAGCTACAAAAGAACTCCAAAGACCAAATCCAGGAAGAATTAATAGATTTAATTTCTTGTAAGAACTGTGCACTGCCTGTGCACACAGAACAGGCACATCTGTCATCTCTTTCCAACAGGTTTTCATTCCCTACGAGCCCTACTTGCGTGTCACGGAGCCTAATCTTTACAAAGCTTATTTTCCATCAGTTCATCCGAATTAATTTCTAAGAGGTAGAAGTGGCACTCCTTTTTCCAGGGATGTTTGTAAACTTGAAAATGAAAACAAAACCAAAAAATACACCAACCAAAAAAAAGGTGAAAAAATAATCACAGGCTATGAGCTCTCAAAATTTTGCCAACTGCAAAAGCGTGATGCACTGTGGAAAGCTTATGAGAGTGCCCTGAGGTAGGATGGTTTCCCATATCTACCCTCAGATTGCGTCTAAAATGCTAAACTACTATCTTTTAAAAATCAACTTTTATATATACAGATAAAAAGCTTTAAAGAAAAAGGCAGAACTTTGTTGTTGCTTCTAAAATTCTCTTTTCAAGAATGAAGAGTTTATGATGGTGGCCATCTGCCAGCTACCCAGACACTTGGGTGGTATGTTTGAGGTGCAGGCACGCGCTCAAGCACAGGAGAGGGCTTTGCTTTTGGTTTCACTTACAGAAAAAGCAAGAAAATAACCGAATTAACAAGTGGAAAGGAATTAACAAGCATTCATCATACGGAAAGGGTCAGCAGCAGGTTCTTTCTAGCATAACCCTAAAGCAGCACTACTTGCCATTTACACACAATTACGAGGTCATGGGTAGGAGACAGCAGTAGTGAGCAGGGTGCTTACAGAGCAAGAAACACACAGCTCGAGGAGCTCAGAGTCTGACATTACCCGGTTGCTGGGATCTGTGCAGATCTTTGCAGGGCGACAGGCCATGAGCTACAATAATGGTGATTTGCGTATTTAACAGATCTAGCATTTTGCATTACAGGACCGCTGACATTTTTACAAGGAAAAGCTCATGCACAGGGCTGCCAATAGTCAGCTCATAGAACTCTCTAATAAGAGCAAGAAAAAAAGTGTACCATTTCTTCATATATAATGATACACCTGAAAACAAGCAGATGTTGTGTGATGAGCACAAGTGCTCATCAATATTAAAACCACTTTTAAAGTCAATTCTCCCTGCAGCTGAGATTTAAGAGGCAATACTCTTCTAAGGTACCTTACAGCCTCATGGCCTTTTAAAAATTAAAGATTAAAAAAAAAAATCAACTCTTGTTCGCAAAACAGTGCTAAGAATAGAATTTAAAAAAATAATAGTCATCTGAAAATCATAAAGATGAAATAAGGTGTGGACTAAGATGCTTGTAGGGGGATTTTTGCCTCTCCTTCCTTTCCCCTCCTTTTTTAAGCCTGATGTGATTTACAGCTTCATTTATTCCCAAAAAGATAACCAATTTTTTTTTTAAACAGGTTTTTTCAACGTGGGTTTCTTCCATGAAAGCCAAGTGCAACTCAGAAAGCATTCCCAAGAAGTTTAGAAAGTTTCCAGCTTTTCAGCAATCTAGAACAAAAAGTCACAGACAACTGTTTTTATGATCTGACTTGAGCCCTGCCCCTTTCCTTTAAGTTTTTGTTGGTTTTATTTTTAATGGTAAAAGAGACAAATTTTATGCTCACTTTCTGAAGATGAGTACAAATTCCAGAGCCTTGCTCAGTGCTTTTGCAGTTATTCAAAATACACTGATTCACTGTTGGGGAGGAAATATTTATCCCATTATTTCAATGCTGCACTGAAAAACAAGGACATGACATATTTGAGCCTGCCTTAATAGACAAACTGCCTGATTTTGTGCCATTATGCAACCCTAAGTAAATCTTCATTACAATTAGAAAATAAGATAATAAATTACTGCAAGTAAAGGAGACAGGCCTAAAAACCACAGGAAGGAAAATAAGGAGCCAGAAATATGGTTTTACTGGGTCACAATTTTATTGACACACATGGGAACAATTCAGAAACAATTTGTCCAGAGTGCACGACCTTTCTTTGCAATTCTTCTCAGCCAGAGTGGCTGACACCAGTCTCCTGCCTCACCTGAAGAGACCCTGCAATCATCACTAGGCCTCGCCTAAGGTGACCCGTGCAAAGGTTGGGCAGAGAAAGCACAGGGACTGCATCTGAACCCAACGCTGGGAATTCCCGTTCTCTTCTCTAACATCTTTAAGAGCTATTTTCTTTGTACATGCCTTCAACCCTGACTCCTCAGGGAGCCACATATCTTCTGCTGATCAATACTTATTTGAGATCTCTGCCCAACTGCAACAAAGGTGAATTTGGTAATCTAATCTTTCCAAGGGAATTTTCATGTTGTTACTCAGCAGGCAAGGAGAACAGAAAAAAACCAAAACAACCCACTCTGCCCAGACTGCTTACAAAGAGTGAAAGTTTAAAATCAACATGCCAAGATGGAAAGTCCCAAAATGACACCTAGACAGCAAAAGCAACTTGGAAAGGAAAGAAATAAAGTCTTTGTTACTACTGCAGAAAAGAACCTTTGAGGAAGAGGGAAGGTTTAGATTTTCTTTACCATTTCCATTAGGAATTCAGCATTAGTAGATTAGTGCTGCATCCTTTTGTCCTGTTAGTGGCAGAAAACAAACCAAATAAGGAGTCAAACTGCTTATAATCTTAATGAGATGAGAGTTTCTCAACTCTTCTCAGCCTTTTGCTGGTCACATCTAAGTAACTGTACAGAATGAACTGTAATAATTGTACTGTAATGAATTGTACTAGTACATGCCCACCACTGTAGGCACATACCTACTGCTATGAAGTATATCACTAATATTTGGAAAATGATTTAGAGGAAAACTATTTCCTCCTTTAAAATATAACTGAAACCTGACGAAGATGCAGAGGGATCCAGAACTTCCTGTAAATCATCTATAACCGAATCATTTTGTATGATACAGCTATTCAGTTCAGCTGAGCACAACTTGGAAAGAGGTTTTATCCCAGTAAGCGATGTATGTTACATCTGATAGGAAAAACCTCAAAAGATTCTTCTAGAAATAGTTTCAGGAAAAGACAAGTAAGAAAACTAAAGATCAAGATGGTAAGTGACATTAGAGACACAAGTAAGATTGTTCTCCTTCTGATGTCACAGGTAGACACGAACTGGTGATCCTTAGCAGTCCTATGGGCACCCCAAAACAGCCTTTCACAACAGCCAAGTAAACTATCTCCCTCTTAGATGTTGCTTCAGTAATATTTCTATGAAAACACATTAGCGTAAGTTTCTGTAGCTGCTCAGTGACCATTTGTGCAGTATTTCATCATTTCCATGTCACTCATTTTAGACTTAATATGACTGGTATGGAAACAGACAGTTTGACCTTCAGGATGTGTCTGTAGAACAACCCTAAGAACATACAAAGAGCTTACGACTGCTGTTCAAACATCTCCCAAGTCCTCAGATTATGGCCACTACAAGTGCTCTGCTTCCTGTATTCATTCATCAACATGTTTGTTCACTAGTGTAATCTTGTTCTCAGTGGGCCGATTTTGAAGCTGTAACTTTTCTTGATGTACTGAAATATTACACATACTGTAATAATGAACCAGCACCTTCATCCCACGGCAGAGAATGCCAGTCTGCTGGGAGGGTCTCATCGTCACCAACTGTAACATCTTTCATCATGTTTTTCTTCTCTGTTTCAGCTCTGTTATCTTTGTAATGAACAAAACTATGACACAGCCTGTAACTCTATATATAATCCATAGACAATATTTTATATTCTCAGGCCTTAGCAGGAGCCAAGTGCAAGCTGCAAAAATATTCCATAGATTTTTCTAAAAAGAAGAAATGCAGAGATCTTCAAGTTTCTCTAGCATGAAAAAGCAACGGTTTTTTTCCTCTACAGACACAGCAGTTTGCATTAAATTTAAATTCTCACCCTGCCTACTGAGGCATTAAGGGGAAAAAAAAATAATGCAAAAGCTGATGGCGGCTTGCCATCAACATATAGCATTGCCTGGGCCCAATGGAAACACTTTCTGAAATAAATCAGATTTTGTCCTGATGAGAACTGCAATGGAAATAAGGTAACAGCAGAGATGAGCATCATTTAGCAGCAGCTTTTGGAAACATTTTGATGTGACTATAAATATGGTCTCATAAGCTAAGTACTATAAAATAAATATTTCCTTATGCATTTTCTTGTCAATTTTGTGTATATATATATATATATATGTAAATTACACAGTAAATAACTCCTAGCTGCTGCTAGAAAGACTTTCAATTTTCCTTGCCATACTCCATTTACCTGTTTTTCCATTAAAAATTGACAGTTTTGAATTTTTAAGACCAAAAATGCAGGAGACAGCATCTACAAGTCCAGTGAAGTTCAAAGTATTATCTCCTTTTGGATTTTCCAGCAGCAACACACCACCTAAAACCAAAATTAAGAAATTAAAATACAGTTTGGAAGCAACATCCACATTTTCTAATTACTTCTTCTAATTACTTCCAGGGAGTTTCTAAGCTAAGTTCAAAGTGTTAACACTGC